GTGTGGCCCAGAATTCCTTCAGCAAAAGCCAGTACTACTTGGGACTGGGGGAAGTATTTTCACTCCAAAATGTAGGCTTTTAAAGTAAGGAATGGGAACTTGTGGCCCTCCCGATGTAGCCATGGTCCGATTCCTAACAGCCCCACCAAGTATGTCAATGATCAGAGATAACAGAGGGAGTCCAAGAACATCTGGTGGGCCACAAGTTCCACCATGGTTTCAGAGTACATTAAAATGAGCAGCAGCTGTCAGAATAAACAGCTGCGTGTGTGTGCATGCATTAATAGGGGTGTTCATGGCTAGCCCTTCCATGAGGCAGGGTGAATCTATCACTTCAAGAGGTGGAGTGGAAGAACTGCAAACTGTGCAGGCACACACATGGGTGTACACACACACACACACACACACACACACACCCTGTTCAGCATCCCTCAAACAAGCTGATTGGTATTCATCTACGCAAGACAAATGCTTCAGAAATAATTTGATTTCATTTCAAAATTCATGTTCACTGGGGCCAATGATGCAGAGAGGAGTCCCATTCCATGTTACATGCACACGACAGCTTTACTGAAACAGTTTTTAGCCATCTGCTCCATCGCCACCAGCAGCAAAAGCTCTTTTCACAAAGCTGTGTGCAAGACCAGCTTATAGCCCCCAGACGATGGGAACTCTGCCTGTATATCCAGTCCTCTAAAGGAATTTGCAATACTGCACATTCAATGCATATGCAAATCCCCAAACAGATTTAGATGTATGTGTTCGGTTTCAAAATTTGCTAGCTGGTGCATAAAAAGTTACACTTAGCAATTTAACAGCAGTATAATACAATGGCAAATAGTATGTCTGCAGTCACATGATTGCTGTGCTTTCTAAACACTATTCTGGGAAAGAAAAAGAAAAGGAAAAGTATTACCCAACAAAAACAAACAAAACCCTCACCAAACACCTGAAAACCATACCAGTAATATTCTGCTGTTTTATAATCCCTTGATGTCTTGTGGACAGAACAAGTGGGGAAAAAAGCAAATAATACTAAAGGGCTTAATATCATGATTCATCTGCCGTCTTTTTGTTTGGGGACACTGCTACTCCAAGGATGCCCTGAAGCCCCACTGCAGCTACCTCCCACGGGCCATCAGAAAAAACTTGCCATAAGCCTTTCTTCACCGAGGTACCGTTCTCAATCCTTTTCCACCCAGTTATCAACTAATCTGATTTTACAAAAATAAACTGTCCCATGTAACATTTTAAGATGTGCCTAACTTTTCTAAAGGTATCTCACTGTGACAAAACTTTGAATAGGCATGTAGACCTAAGCACTGCATGCAAGTCAAACATTGCCAGTTGTCTGTCTACACTGAATCTTAATTAAGATTCTGTGAAATCTAATGCATTATTAGAGACACGACATCCAAAAATGAATTAACTTGATTCTTTATACATATGCTCTGCACAAAGAAAAACAAAAGCAGACTGTAACGAGTTCTTCATGAACTCTTTGGGTTGTTTATAGGCATTTGTTGGTAATGCTTACAAAAGAAAGAGTACAATATTTAATTCTGGTATATCTTTTCTAAGTAAGCTTTCCTCTAAAAGAAGCACAGAGTGCTACATTAAAAACAGCATGCTGCCAGTTCCCTTACAACAATCCAAACTCTCCCTCAAATATTCATGCAGTCAAACCAAAATATTTCCACAAACTCACATCAGTCCAAGCTAAATTAAACCACAGAATTAGAAAGTCAGAAAAGCTTAGTAAATAAGTGTGTCCATGTGGGGAGGGCGACGGTATCTACCTGGATTTGTTTCCACTTCTTAGTCCACTCATTATCTAAAATAGCAGTAAAGTCTTAAGACCAAGGTTAAACGTGATATTGGATTCAACAGTGATTATGCTCTTTAACCAGAGGCTGATTATTATGTTTCCTACCACTCATTTCTACTACTTTGCAAATACTTGAACACTAATTGAGGCTGCACTCTTAAGTTTTCTTTTGAAAATTATCTACAACCTGAAGGAAAGGTGCCAGGGGAAAAAAAAAAATCAAAACTTCCCAGTAAGTAAGTGACGAGAGGGGTCTAAGCCAGTCAAACTTCAATACTTGCCCAAAGTGTGTTGGGGGGGGGGGGGAGGCACAGAGAAAAACAGACACCATCCATCATGGACCTAAAATGAAATATCACCCAGTCCAGGGAAAACTTGACTGAAGAAACCAAGGCTCTGTCAGAGGAGAGCTCCCATATAATTGATTAGCAACTTAGAGAAAATTTAGAAGAGGCATGCTGTGACCTTTAAAATTACTAAAAGTATATCTCTTCCCCTTTCTGCCTGGCCTCCAGAATCCCAGTTTGGTTCAAGCAAGAACCATTCAATTTTGTCTTGCTGATTTTCTGTTTCTTTGTCCAACCAAGAATTCTGCTATGTTTGAGGTCCTACAAAATTAAATACACAAATAATACAAATATACCTCCATCCTTTTTTAAAAAGTTCTTTTCTATTTAAGTTCCCTAAAGCACTGCACACAACGAGTCTGTCTACCCATATCCAAGAGTGATAGGTGTCTCTGTGGTTGTTGTCACACCGGTCCTCCGTGCAGCTTCTCTTCAGCTGAATTCCTCAGGTATGCATCACAACTGCTGTCATGTGCCTTTGCTAGGAAGGCTGGAATGATACATCACCACATGCTGCATCGGAACTGAATGCATGGAACCTGGGCCAGCATGGAAGCAACCACAGGCTTGTGATCAGGAGAGTAAACTAGTCCCCACAAAATGCGTTCTACCTGGCTGATCCTGACAGGATGGGATGATCACCTTCAACTTTCAGTGGTTGAACAAAGCTCTATGGGCTTTCAGCTCATGACAGTTATGGTTTAAGTCAGCTTCCCAAGTTAGTTGCAGCCATATTGCAATAATCTGAGTAAAAGACGTGCAAGCCAGGGGCTCAGAGTCAGCACTGTGCAGATCAGCACTCAGCTGCAAAGCAGTGAGGGTGATGGAGCACCAGACGAATCGGGCCAACATCTGCCCTGGTGTGACCAGCCCAACGTGTGGCAAGATTGGGTGATAGGAGCCGTGGGACCCATTTGCTGACAAAAATGCATAGCCTTGTGCCTTTAAAGGGCCAAAGCAGACATGAAATTAATTGCATAAATTCCATTAGCATGCATGTTTCTATAGGCTCAGAAAGCAGGCATGTGCAGTGGGGTGGCGAGAAGGTTGAGCAGCACCCAGACAGCATGGGCGAGAAGGTGACTCCTCCTCCCAGCTGGGGTCCAGGCAAAAGTAGCAACTGCTCCCAAGCTGCAGTTTGCATGAGGGGGGAAGCCACCAACTCCAGCTCCACAGTCTAGCCACACTTCGCATTAAAAAAAAAAAAAAACTAAAACATGCATGTTAGTCACAATGTGGTAACTAAGGTACGCATAGCATCCAGTTTGGTCCTCAGCAGGCTTGCCCAGGCAACGAAAGGGCCACCATGGCCACCTGGGAGGCTTCTCTGGACCCCCTCGAGTTAAAGTGGCCACACCAGCTGACAGTGGAGCGGGGCCTGGATCCACCTTCACCCACAGGTTCATTTCTGTTTTAGGAAACAGCCGTTTTCGGTGCTCTGAAGATAATGAATGCCACCCCCAGTAAAAAGCCAGCTGTCAATATGAGCTGCATTACTCAACCCTTAGCAAGGTAGCAGGAGAGGAACAAATCAAACTGAAACCTGATGACGTACATTGAGTTCGACGAAAGAGACCTTTCCCGAGATGACTTAATCCAGTGCTGGAAACTGACAGGGAGCAAGTTTTGCTCTGGCAGTTTTGCTCTGGCAGATGGAGCAGCCATCCCTTCTCCCTCCACCCTCTCCCTCCCAGCCCCCCCCCCCTTTTTTGGGGGGGGAAGCTCCACCACCCATCTATTCCTGATGGAGCAGATCCCAGGAATACCAGCAGCCCTGCAGCTGTCCTACAGCAACAACACGGACACAAAAATCACACCAAGCAAACCCGACCCTAACTGTGCAAAGCGGAAAGGAGAACGAACCAGCAGTATTTTCTCAAAAGGTGATTATTTTTGGAAAAAGGTGGATTTGCAGGGGAGAAGGGTCCTTCCCTTCATGGGGACTTCCCTGCCATACACTCCCAGCGTCTACCGCGTTTTAAATTGCCCCTTCTCAGGTGAAGCAATCACGTAATTCTTTACAGGTGTTCCAGTGGACAGAGAGTGAGAGCACGCAACAAATCCTGAACGAGGCAGAGCACACCCTGCTGGCAAAGGACAACTGTTAGCAACCCTTACAGAAGCTTGCGAGATTAGAGCTGAATAAATTTAACCTCCAAGCACACACACAGCAGAGCTCACAGCAAAGTCGTGCCTTTCTGTGCCATTTCTGTAGTTCTACCTGAAAGTCTTCCAAGCATTTTATGAGGGTCTGCTAGTCTGAATTGGCAGTCAAGAGGCAATCTTACCAACCCGCCCCCACTCCAATCCCCACTATATAAACAGGACTAGAAACTTGTATTCCAGATGTTTTATTCCTCGAAGCCAACGAAGAAGTTCAGGAAGAAAGCTTTTCTCCGGTCTTTCTCATCTGTTCCCTTCCCAAGAAAAGAAAGTGAACCTCTCATTAAGCCTCTCCCCCTCCTCCCTTTTGCTCTCCTAATTTGTTCTTCCCCCCGCACGTCCCTTTGGTAGCCGAAAAAGGATTCTCTATTCACGACACAATGAGGCAATTCATCGCCCGAACTTCCCTAAGCGGGCAGCCCGGAGTGGAAAAGGCACCGCTGCTCCCGTTCCCGGGAGGTGAAAGGCAGAGAAGATCTGGGGAGGGGGCGACTCGGGCAAGGGGGGCACCAAACGGAGGAGGAGGATGGACAGAGGCAGAAGCGGTGGCGGCCCAAGGCGATGCTGCCGAGACACCCAGATGACACGTAGATGGGCTTTCGCCCCGCACCCTTTTCCAGCCCGCGCCTCCTCTCTCGCTCGCTCGCTCTCTCGGCGCTTACCTGCGATTTCCTGGTAGGGGATGTTGAGCAGGCTGAATCCTTTGGCTTTGTACGCCTCCCGCACCTCGCCGCAGCTCCGAGCTTTCACGTCCGCTGCTCCGGCGCAAAGTGACAGCAACAGCCCCGGGAGAGCCCAAAGCAGCGCCCCGGTCCGAGGAACCATGGTGCCCAAGAGCAAGCGGGAAGGGGCGCCCGCAGCAACTCCCTTCCGCGCAAACAGGCCCCTCCGATCTCTTTTCCTTCCTTTTCCCTTTTTTTGAAGAAATAGATCTCTAGGCAAAATCCACTCGATGGAGAAATCCCGAGCAGTCTCCTCTTCCTCTTCCTCCTCCTCCTCCCCTTCCTCTCCTTCCAAAAAGCACCGAGCGGAGCCCTCCAGCGCGAAGCGCGAAGCGCAAGACACCACCCCCGTGGGTAGGAGCAGAGGAGGCCCCCCTGCAAGAGCCCAGGCAAACTTTGGGAAGCCGGTTGGGGAGGGAGGCGCGGAGGAGAACGCCGCCGCCGCCGCCGCCGCCCGCCCCTTCTCGCCCTCCTCCTCCTCCTCCTCCTCCCCTCCTTCTCCTCCTCCTCCTCCTCCTCCTCCGCCGCCGCCGCCGCCGCCGCCTCGGCCGGGAGCGTTAAAGTCCGCGGCGGTTCAGAGACGGCTTGGCGCTGCCCGCGGAGCCCTCCCGAGCGGGGAGCCCCGCAGCCCGCGGAGCCGGCGAGCAGCCACGCTTGGGCGGCGGGCGGCGGGGAAAGCGCTGCCCGGCTGCCTGCGCGGGGACGCGGCGGGCGGCGGGCGCTCTGCTGCGACGCGGCGGCGCTGGATCGAGGCGGACATCCAGGACCGGCGGGCTCGCCTGGCGGGGGATCCGGGGGAAGCCGCCGCTCCGCCGCGCAGCCCGCCGAGAAGCAGCCCCGCGGAATATAGACGAGGCGGAAAGCCGGCAGAGACGCACACGCAGCGCGGGCGAGCGAGCGGGCGAGCCACAGAGGGAGCGAAACGTGCTCCACATTGCATAGCCCAGCGCCGGGAGAGGAGCGGCAAGGAAAACCCGGGCTGGATTGCGCTTCTTTTTCGCTCCCTCCCGCGCTCCCCGAATGGAGAGGCGTCCCGGGAGGATGCGGGGCAGGAGGGGGGAGTGCTCCTCGCCTCGCCCTGGCTGCGCGCGCCCGCGCAGCGCAGCGCCCCGCAATCCTTGCGCTTCGCTACACTGCGGGAGAGACCGCCGCCTTTCCGTCCCGCGCGCCTCCGGCGGGGAAGATGCTCGGAGCGCGCCGCCGGCCTCCTGCGAGGTCTCTCCCCGCTCCGCATCCGCGCAGCCATTCGCCTCAGCCTTCCAGCTGGTTTTCGACTACAGTTCCCATCATCTACCGTGCGCCAATCTGGCTGGGGGGAGCGGGAGCTGTAGTGCGTGGTGCGCGGGGGGCAGGCTGACCCAAGGGCTTCCTGGCGCATTTAAGGCTTGCCCAGATGAGCCTCGCAGCCCTATTTTTCGCCCGAAGGATCGGCAGCCCCCTGGGTGAGGAGAAGCGAGCGCGCCCGGGACGGGAAGGGGAGCGCTGGCGCCCATGCCCCGCGCCTTCGGCCGCGGCTGCCAAAGAACGGGGGAAGGTGCGCGGTCCGTTCTGCAACGCCCACCCGTGGCCCGCTCGTTTCTCGGGGTTGCGCCACACAGAGGGCAGGCAGGGCCGTGTGCCCGCCGAAGCGGGCAGTGCATGCTCCCGCTGCCCCGGGGCGCTCACAGCTGGAGGGGGCCCAGCGTTGGCTCTCGGGAAGCCCTCAGGCTTCTCCTCCTTAACGGAGTTGGACCGAAGAGCGACTGGGCACCTAGGAGGGCTCGGCCTGGAGCGTCACGGGCCCGGACCGCGAGGTAACATTCAGCAAATGAGGCAAGGTGTGATAAAAGGCCTCATCTGCTCAGGTCACAGAGCAGCGGGCGAAAACAGCCCCCTTTCTCAGGGCAGCGCAGCGCAGAGCATGGACTGCCCAGGGGAGGGGCGGCTGCCCATTCCACTCGCTCCCAGTCATGCCCAGAGTGGGAGCAGGCCAGTGGCAGGCAGGTCCTGGTTGCTCACGTTCCCGCGCCCTCCACTCTGCCCGACGCAGGGAGAGGGCGAGTGAGTGGGCAGAGGCTGGCCAGCCGACTTCTGCTTCCCTAGGCTGCTTGATTCCCTCTGGATGGCCCTGCGGCTGGCTTATGGCTGTCAGGGTAGAAACAAGAAAAGAATGCGCGGAGCACAGAAAGAGCTCAATGTCTCCCCAACTGCCTTCTCTCTCCCCCCCCTCTCTCATTCCAGGGGGAATTTGGCTCCACTGTGTCCAGACGGAGAATCCAGGTGAAGAAGCAAGAAACTGAGCTGGCTGGGCCATCCATCCATCCATCCATCCATCCAAGGGCCAGTCTTCTGTGCTGTGCTGCCCAGAGAGGGTGCTGACAGCAACAATGCCACACCAGTGTATCCAGTCTGGGCTATATTTTTAAGAGAACTGTCCATGGTGCTAAACCCAGTGTGGGCGCTTGGATTCAGCACCATGGACAGCCCCTTCCAAGTTCAGAATACAACCCAGAATGGATACAGCACTCCCCCAACACTGGGGCAACCAGACTCCTCTGCTCGCACCCGTTGTTTAGACAGTTCCATCTCCCAGAGAGGATGAGCAAGAAAGAGCCTCTCTCTCCTCTCTTGCTTGCACACCTTCTCATCCACCCTGGATGCCGTGGAGCTCCTCACTATCACGTAGTTTTCCCTTTCCTCCGCAGGAAGTGTTGGGCAAAGGTTGAGTGCTGCTGCCTTTGCTTGGTCACCTGCTTTCCCCTACGGAATCGTCTCCCTGCTTGCAGATCCTATTCCTTTGCCTGGTGCAGTGGGAAGAACTGGTCTGAGCCATCCAAAGGGAGGGAGGCAGCCAGACATGTCACGTCTGTCCTGAGACTGAACATCTACCCCTTCGCTGTGCTGCCTAGTCAGCTTCTCTCACTGGGCCAGGTGGAGGACTGGACCAGCTGGGCCCCCTCCCACTGTCCATCCAAAGCAAGGTACCAGTGGTACTGCCGGTTAGCAAACTTCTCTGTTGCACCACCTAGACGGAGAAGTAAGTGGCTGGCAGTGTTAAGCATCCTTTTTGGATACATGTTTAATGTCAGGTATAATCAGGCCCTAAGTAAGACCATGTTTTCCCCTCCCTGCTAAGCAATTAGGGAGATATAAGACTTCCATTCTTTTGCTTGTTTGCTTGCTTGTTTCTGATCTTGCTCCTGCGCCTTTAACAGCAAGCAACTTGGGTAAATGAAGCTTTGAATTCCTTCCCTGCTCCATTAATTTATCTCCACGGCAGGAAAAGCTCCCCCCACCCCTTAATGGTTCTTCTCTCTCCTGGTCCCAGATTACTGCTAAAGGCACAGGAGCAGTGATGGGGCGGGGTGGGGTGAGGTGGGGGGGACTTCACTAGGGGGAGTTCTATATGGGCTTTCCATTTTCCCTTGCCACACCCAAGCCACTGTTCCTGACAGTGATCTCCAGATATAAGCGTGTATCAATGATAGTGTTTACGTCCATGCTATGAAAAACTTCTGATGCTGATGCCTTCATGTTGCCTGCTTAAAGGCACAGCAACAGTTGGTATGTTTTGTTTTCTCATCAGTTGGCCACTTGCATGCAGATGATTGTGAGTCCAAGAAAGACCATTTCACCGAATCAGTCTAGCTGGAGGATGGTATGAGTGTGGTGTTCTCTGCTTCATCTCAGATCTTCGGCTAATTTGCTTGATTCTCTTAGAAGTATGTGTTAAGCAAACCCACTGCTGTGTTGTGTGGTTTTCTCTCCATATTAAAAATTGGATCAACCTCCTTTAATCTCAGTAATCCTGTAAAGTAGATCACTAATACTATCAATATTATTGTGGCAGATGTAGGCACTGAAAGAAAGAGGCTTACATAAACTCAATGATTCTTGGCTGATATAAGATTGGAAACAGAGATATTCAGCCCCTAGCAGTGAAATCCTATGCATACTTACCTGAGAGTGGATCTAGTAGCTGAATGCAGTCACTACTCTGCACCAACTCTCCACAATCCAAGCTGCCATGATATGGTGGATACTGAGTTTGTTCCAGAAAAAATGGCCAGAGATTTGCAAACAATGGGGAACAATCATGCAATTATGCTGAGAAGATGCTTCAGAGTTCCAGCTGTCCTTTTTTCTAAAGTTGGCATGAGCAAAGATTTTGACACTTTGCTTTGTAATTCTGAAGATAAGAAAACGAGCAAATATCAGATATGTGCCAATCGGATCAAATGACAGCTTGTAGAAATGTGATGGCAGGAGAAGGAAAAACAAACAAATATTCCCTCAAATGCCAGAATAAAGGATATGAAGAAAAAATAGAAGTTAGTTGGGTTATTACTATTTTCTGATTACCTTGCCAATTCCAACTGGACAAGCACACCACAGTTATAAAACCAAAGTGAAATATATGGAGGCCCAAAACTCACCAATATTAGAACTCTATCATTGGACATGACTTGGAGCAGAGGAGAATTAGTAGAGCAGGAAAAAAGTGGGGGAACAGGGGAGGGATATGGAAGATGCAAAACATCGAACTGCATGTCTTTGTAAACCTCCAAAATCCGATGCCTATTCACAACCAGTGTGTTCTCCTGCCCTTCTTCTGTTCCCTCGCACCATTCTCTCTTCTCCCACACTTGATCATTGCAGCCAATTAGGGAAACCGCAGGGAGGGATATGACATCACACCCTTCTGTAATCCATCAGAATTGGCTCTGTAGCATCATCACAGGACAATGAACAGAAAATGCCGGGCAGGTGGAGAGGGAAGGCATCCCCGCTTTGCTCAGTCAACTGTGCAATTCGCCCCTCTCTTGTCAGAGATGTGGGAAGATGAAACTGCCAGATCCCATAGTCTGGGGGCATTGCTTTGTGGTTCTGCTCCTTTCCCCTTCGACAAGAAGTGAACATTTGTAATGCCTTCCCAGGTTCCCCTGCATCCCAAGAAAGGGATGCTCCATTTTGCAGTTCATGAGCAGGTTTGTGAGGTACATGTTTTGCCCCAGACACATTTTGATATGCTGCTATGAAAGCAACTTGTCATATCATTTGGTAGGAGGGCTTTGATATTCCAAGCATTTAACCTAACATTTGTCTAAACTGAGTCCTGTTCATTTCACTGTATCTATTCTAAGTATGACTAACATTGGCTACAACCCTGAGTACTCAGAGGAAGACAG